TTGAGACAGAGTCTCACTCTGTTGCCCAGGCTAGAGTGGAGTGGCAGAATCTTGGCTCACTACAGCTTCTACCTCCCAGGTTCAAGTGATTCTCGTGTCTCAGCCCCCTGAGTAGCTGACACTATAGGCACACACCACCACGCCTGGCTAATTTTTGTATTTTTAGTAGAGACAGGATTTTGCCATGTTGGCCAGGCTGGTCTCAAACTCCTGACATTAGGTGATTTGCCCACCTTGGCCTCCCAAAATGCTGGGGTTACAGGTGTGAGCCACCACACCCAGACTTATACACTTTTAAACAAACAGATTTTGTGAAAATTAACTCACTATCACAAGAACAGCAAAAGGGAACTCTGCCCCAATGATCCAGTAACCTCCCCCAGGATTCTCCCCCAATACTGATGATTACAATTCAACATGAGATTTGGGTGAGGACACAGAGCCAAACTGTATCAAGTGAAATTCATGGTTTTATGAGCTTCATCTCATCAAGACCTCATGTTTCCAATGGATGCATTTCTCTGTTTCAGACCGTAACTCCTGTTGGGTGGCCCTCTTTTAAGGGAGCCTGAAGATTCTGGTATTTGCCCCTTCCCCTTGCTCCTTCAAGCTTAGGGCTAGTGACAGATTCCCATTGTTGCTACCCTTGGGCCTACCCTCCACTCAGGGAACAGGTCTTCATAACACTGTCTCCATTGCCCTATTGACTGTGACACTGGGTTCTTGCCATGATGCTCTGGTGAGAAAATTGTACGATTTGCCTAAATGTAAAAAATATGTTAATGAAAGAAAATCCAGATTCTAGAATTACTTTTGGCTTTTGAAAGAAAGACTGGTCTAGCCAAGCTTAATGAAAGGATCTCACTGGGAGAAATAAAGGCAAAAATCTCCCCTGGAGACCAATAAACATTCTACAGTGCTCCAGCCAGCTTCTGAAGTATCTCCTGTCTCAGAAAACCACCAAAGTAAGCTGAGCTGATGAACTTGGACCTCTTTTAGACAGTCATCTATAATGTTGACACCAAATCGTACCCATAGAAAAACAGAGCTTTAATGCTATTTTGATCATAAATCAATTTCCCCTGTTCTCACTAAAACTCTTCAACATTCTAGTTATACTCTCAGTAAAAGAATCTATTTATTTTTGCTTAGCAAAATTACCACCTTTTCATGAGTCATAGCTGCATAAATCATTTTTAACCATAAAGGCAATGTGATTTGGATTGAAGATTTTTGGAGCACAGCTCAGGAGTGGAAAACCCATTGCCTTGAGTCCGTAATCTCATCCTCAGAATACATGTGATGTGGAAAATGCCACTGTGGTTTCTATCAGTCCTGTGATTAAGGGTAACAATGTGTCATTTGGAAGATCTGAAGGGAAGAATAATGCATTTGTAAAAATGGTAGTTTGAAAGAAGATATTCATGACGAGCTCTAGCTCTTTCTTCTGATTAAGCTGTTCATTCTGTGCGCATAACAAAACTGATCCCATGTGTCCTCATGCTGAAGAATCATGGGCATGGGGTCATCTCAGCTAGTTTGCTACAGAAGCATCTGATGGGGAAGTAAAATCCTCATCTTTCCTGCTTGAAGGTCTCCCATTCTCTCAGACAAATTTGCTCGGAGCTCCCTTAATGTGATTGGTGATAGTGGTTGGGACACATCCTTCCCTCCTCCATAGAGAAAAGGCACCACTCTCCAATAGGTGGATAATGTGGAAGGACTCTCATTCTTGGCCTTTGGTAAATCTCTGCTTTTATGGGTTGTGGAGTAGGAAAGGGCAGCAAGAACATGGCTGCAGTGATGTAGACCTGAAAAATGAATCTGGCTGTGTGTTTTGTGCATTGTTTAGAAAGCTACCTTACTCGAAGCTACCTTACAATAAAGCTGGATAGGTGCTTGGTGAATCTCACAGCTCATCTTTTTGTATTAAAGAGGCACAATATTTAAACCATCTCAGACAAATTAGAACCCCTGTAACTCTTTCATGGAGGCAGCATTAGCAACCTTTGATAACTGATGTTAGCATTTTTATCATTACTGTAAGGAGGATCCAACACAGTGCCTATCTATTTCCTTCAGGTTACAGCATAAGCCCCTCCTTTTTCCTTCTCAGTGGAGAAATGGATCCACCCATGTCTATATGCCAGTCTATCACTCTTATAAATGTGGAGCTATCTGCTCCTTAACTGATCCTAGGAGCCCACTCTTCTTCCCTTCTCTCCATTCCTCCTTCCTTTCTTCTTCTTCTTTTTTAGTATATTAGTCCTGAATGTTTGAGGAAATGCATTTTGTGGGTGCATAGGTACCTCTGCTAACATATTGTATGATCTTAGGGTATGGGTTAGGCTTCTATCTTTTATTTTGCAAATGACTTCTGAGATTTCCAAGGCAAATGCAGACAGTTCCACCTTAACAGAATCTCCTCAGACATGGATCCTTGCTTGGAAAATTTGATGTGTTTGTGAGCTTCTGAGAACTCGCAAGTTTGTTATTTATTTTGGGAGAAAATAAGATTTGAAAAATATAAAAAGGGAGATAGGGAGAGAAAATATAAATCCAAGTTCTCTTCAGGAGAATTTGGGAGGTAATTTAATGGCCTTGATTGGATTCACTTGCACAGGTTGGGTTCATCTTGCATTGTATTAGCCAGTCACTGGGAGTGGTGGTAGAAAGGCTGATTTAGATGTGAAACAAAATGCTTATACCAGTTGCCAACATGAACCAAATAACTTTAATATCAAACCATTTAAAGTCAGATCAAGATCATTGAAGAGACATGGGGAAAAAAACAAGGGAAGTTTCATACAGTCAGTGGCATTTGACATTGGGTCTTTAAGTGAAGTTTGGATCTGGAGAGATGGAGGTGGGAAGGGAGAGGAGGAAAGATAAAGGTTAAAATGGGAAAACATGAGCCAGGTACACATGGAGATATTAGATTGTTCTGGTTCACTAAAATTAACCTGTTGCATGGCTTCTAATATTCAGAAGAAGTTAGAAGGAAATCATCCAGGAAATCTGTATGATGAGATCATTAAACTTTTCAGTGAAAAATACCCTTGCAATTAATTTCATTTGCAACATGCATGCTTATGAATCACTATATTTGTTGGGATATTATGAAAAGGTCAAAACTAATTATATATTTGTTATGATTAGCTGAACATTCTAGCTGTCATTTGTTATTTTTGTTCCCTTGAGACAGTGTAGACATAGTTCTATTTCTACACTGGAGTTTTGAGTGTCATTTTTTTTAGAACTTTAATGAAAATGTTTCTTTTATCATTGTAATTTGGTTTATTATGCTTAATACCACCAAATTGCTTTTAAATCTTGGCATGGCTTTATTAAAAATGGCCTCATTTTAATTTGCTGCTCTAGGTACAGAATTCATCATGAAGACAAGAAAAACAGCTGCCCCTTCAGAGATGTTCTGGAGGTGGCTTAATGAGAAATCCACAAGTACTGAAGACATTATGAATGTATTCAAAATTCTCTCTAATGTTAGTTATCTAAAAATCTTTATCTTGTGCATATGTGCTTTCTTTTCCTGAAATTGCTAGATTTTCCTGGTCCCTGACTGAAGAATTTACCAGTATGTATTTCTTGTGGGCAGATGGAGATGCAAATCTGAGGAAAACTCAATGGCATCCACAATCATGATTTATAAAAATCAAGTTTCTCCACAAAGCTTCAGATTTGAAATGTGACCTGAATAATTGAATAATAATTAATAATTATAATTGAATAATTCTAATATTATCAAAGGCAGGGACTATATCTTGTTCAAAATCTGTGGTAGGTGTCTATGTGGCATGTGCTCAAGAGATTGTCTATTCTTTATTCAGTAAGTCTTTGTTTATTACCTACTGTATGCAAGAGGATGAGCAATTTATATAGAGTGATTGGAATTTAAAAGAAATATGCAGATTAACCCCTCTAGAAGATTATAATTAGCTGGAAGTTTACAATATAATGGTCTCCTATGAGACTGTTGGAAACACAGTGAAGTTTGAGACACTCACTGGAATTATCACAACATGACTTGCATATGTTTTCAGTATGACTTGAATGGTTTGCCTTAGGAATGAGAAGTAATAGTAACACAACTAGTCTGAAGACTAAATGGTGGACACTTTATTTTATTAAATATTAAAGTTAGAAATGACATTTTCCTACCTAAGTGCTTTGGAAATGCACAGGTATGCTTTTTTTTTTTTTTAAACAGAAGAGTAATTTATTTTTACTATGAAACTGATTAACAACAGTTGTCTCATTATTCTGACTTATCCGTATTCAAAACTCACCTGCTCAGAAAACTGCAAACCCATAGTTTCTAACAATCCCTATTTAACCATTAAGCAAAAATTTATAACAATAAAAGTTATGTACAAAGGAAAGATCAGAGAGTAGAAAATGTTAACCAGAGGTACCCAGAAAAGCTTTCTGTGACTGAAATAATTCCTTTCTGAGGTTCAGGAATAAGATGCTTCTTTTGGGGCTGAGAAATTTACATGAGAAACCTTTGATATCCAAATTGGACTTCTGAGCTCTTTGCTGTGCCATTTTTGGCTAGTCTAAAGCAATCAGTTGGAGAAAGCAGCACTGAGGAGGAGGAGGAGGAGAAAGGAATTCTCAACCTTGGACCAATCTCTGACTCCATGGTTAGGACTGAGAACAAATACACTCAAGGCCTGCCCCTGAATGGCAGTGGGACAACCTGGAAAACTAATGATTTAGTATCAAGTCAGGCCTGTTGTGATTATCTAGATTGGCTCCAACCCAGGGACCTTGTACTGAAGACCCCCGGAAGAATGATAGATGAGAGGATGACACAGCTAAAGTTATGTGACTTAAAGGTAGTAACCCACAGGATGGCACCAGAGCTCTTAACAGTGTCCTTCAGATAAGTGACATGACTCCACTGTTAGTGGCAGCAGGGCTGAGTAAATCTCTAGTAATTTCAGGTTAGGCAGGATCTTGACTCATATAACTCATGGTAGAAGCTATAGGTTCTACTGTATAATATCTCTGTATATATCCAAGAGGCTGGGATGATCATAGAGAGTGGCAGAACACGTGGTCTTCAAAGATCTGCTTCTCTCTTGCCGGGAAGGTCTTGCCACAAATTAGACAATTCAGACGAAGGGCGTTCATCTGCTGTTGCTCCAAGGTGTGATCACAAATATCATCTGCTTTGCAGATGGGGCATTTCTTGATGGAGTGTGAGCTTGGGGAAGAACTTTCTTGGATACCAGAATATGGGTTTCCATAGACAAGTCCTAGATTTTGTCCTGCGCCTCCTTCATCTGATGTAGGTACTTGATACAGCAAAGAATTAAAATCCAGACCCATGTAACTGAGCAATCTGCTGTTCTCCCTCTGCAAAAGATCATTTTCTCCTTCTAATCTCTCTTTTTCTCTCTGCAGAACATTACATATCATTTTGTTCTCACTCAGTCTTCTTGACAGGTCAAAGTTTTCATCCATTAATTCCTGTTGCTTCTTCATTGCAGTAGTTTCATTCTGCTTCATCTCCTGCGCTGTCTGCTCGAGCTTTTTCTGGTCCTTCCTCTGTTCAGTTAAACTGAGAAAGAGGTGGTCATTTTCTTTTTTCAGATGCTCTAACTGCTCTGTCTTATCTTGATCTCCCTGAACAAGCTTCTCCATTTCTTTCTGTTCACTATCTCCTGAACAAAAATGTAAACTGACGCTGGAAAGCAAATGGTATCGAATACCTTTCTTGCCCACAAGGGTTGTTACAAAGAATGTGTCTCACTAGGAACTAGGACACTCATCGGCCCAAGACCAACTGCTGAATAAAAGGAATAAGGAGAATCGTATTTGTAACGAGTTACAGGGTCGTTTCTTTCCTGGATTTTAAACTTTTTGTTAAATTGTGAAATTATGGAGGAGGTTTTATAGAAAAAAAATGAAATAAAGTCAGAGGGGAAAGCAAAA